ATAAGAGTAGTAGTGTTATCTCTAAAAAGTATAAGAATATAAAGAACCATTTCCCCAAGTTTGAAATCGACTGATTAAAAAAACCCTTAGTGTGAAATAAAACCCAGTGCTGAGCGATTTATTTTTGGCCAAACTTGTCTGTCGTCTCTACCGCCACTAGGGTAGCTATCATGCTTTAACAAAACAACAGCACATACGTCTGAATCGACACATTTCAGATCATTTATAGACGGGCTTTGACCCTGACTGAGAGGGATACAACGTCCCAGCAAAACGACCGAGATACTGGATAAAAACTTTGATCTCACGGAAATCGAACGCATGTTCTCGTCATGTGATAGCGAAGTGCTTAACCACATCATGACAGACGCTGGTAAGTGTGCTTTTGTGTCTATGTTTAACAACTTCACTCCCAGGCCTCAGAATGGGGTTATGGAGCATTTCATAAATCACAGATTATTAGACACTGAAAACATCATTGAAGGCTACTTTTTACATTGAAGTAAGACGTTTGGTCACCTCTCGAACAGTGAGCTGATCTCGCGGAGACCTTTGTGTTTATAAAACACTGTCCTTCCCCTTTACACTCTCAAACTCTTTAAATGTATTTCTCTCAAGCACTCGTACTTGATGGATAAGACGAGGAAAATCTAATTGCCTGCCTCCAGAGACCCCCCCCCCCCAAAAAAAAAAAAAAAATAAAATAAAATAAATAAATAAGCAGAAATAAGACCAGGAAGTGAAAAGATTACCAGATGCATACATATTTTTGCATACGAGTAGATTGTCTTCTATCAGTTAGTGCCTATGACTGTGTTGCAGAGTTTAGTTTATTGGCATTAAGCTCCCAGGAGTTTGCATATTAAATGCAAGCAAAAAACCCCCATTCGTATAGATATATCACTAGAGTCATAACCTGGTACAGAGGTATAACTTATACCTGTTGGATAATAACTTTATATTGGAGGCCGGAAAAAAAATCCTTACACCACAGACGTTCTATGTACTGGTGAAATAGTACATTTACTTACCCATGTGCGTGCGTGCACGTACGAACACACACACACACACACACACACACACACACACACACACACA